AAATCATGTCCGTAAATCAAAAAAGGCATTATACCGTCTCAAACAAACATATTCAGCATGATTTGATCGATTTAGTGCCTATTTACTATCACTGAGATTTTATTGCAGTATAACTGATTCATCTCTATTTGTTTGTCGTACTACTCAAGGCATCATTATCCTTCTCCTCTATGTCGATGATATTATTGTTATAGGTGAAATTTTGATACGTTGAAATGGTTTATTTCCCAATTTGGAAGAAATTTTGTAATGAAAGATCCTGAATATCTTCACTATTTTCTCGGCATTGAGCTATCTTATTTTTCTGGTAGAATCTTTCTACCACAAAGAAAATATGCCCAAGGTCTTCTTGCTCGTGCCCAGATATTAGATGTCAAACCTATTTCAACCACAATGACAATGAATAATAATGTTTACAGGAATTCTGATAAAATTTTTTTATCATTCTCTTTATTGGAGAATCATTGGTGGACTTCAATACATCACCATAAATCGGCCTGACGTTTCCTATAGTGTTAATACAATGTGTCAATTTATACATGTCCTTACAATTGCACATTTATCAGGCAGTTAAGCGGATTCTTTGATATCTCAATGGTATACAGTCTCATGATATAAGACTCTTATCTTCTAGTTCCCTTAAGTTATATGCATTCTCTGATGCCGACTGGGCTGGGTGTCCAAACACTTGCCTTTCAACCACTAGATTTTGCACCTATCTTGGTTCCAAACACTCGCCGTTCAACCACTAGCTTCTACACCTATCTTAGTTCCAACTGTAAATCTTGGAGCGCTAAGAAACATTCAACTGTGGCCCGTTCAAGTGCTGAAGCTGAATACTGATCTGTGGTACCCACTGCTGCAGAATTGACATGGCTTTATTTTATTCATCGGGACAATGGGGTGCCACTTTTTCAGGCACCAATACTTTGTTGTAACAATATTAATGCTCTCTACATGATAGTTAATCCAGCTTTTCATGATCTTTGCTTCAAACTTGGACTTCCGATGCGTCTGAAGCCAAGTTTGAAGAGGAGTAATAAAAACAAAATTCAAAAATTCTAGTTTTGGAAAGGCAACAATCGAAATATTACTATTGCATTTTGAGATAATGTAACAAGATAGGAAATTATATTGCATATAACAAGATAGGAAAATGTCCATTATTCCGTTGTATCACTAATATATATACAATGAAAAAACCACCACAATGTTAAGGTGGGGTATAATTAATTTTCAAAAGTTCATTTCTCTCTCGAAAATTCTTTAAAAGCTTCACCTTAAAACTCATCGAAAATTGTAATTTTGGAGTAAAAAAACTTTCAAATCAATAATCTCGCCCTTGAGTATTATGATTCTAAATTTTTTTTAGAATTTCAAGCCCTAAAAATAGTGTGCATTATGACACATTATCTAGATAAAATAAGTTTGAGAAATTTCTTTTTTTGAGGTTGAGTATCGTTTAGTTGAGGAAGTTTTGCACGGGTGCATAACGCTCATCATATGTCTGGGCAACATGCTTACACTTTGTACATGAATTGTGCACATTGAGTGATTTGTGTTGTGTATGGTGCACAATACACAAGATTGAGTACTAAGTACACTTATACAGTGCTTCATGCACAGTGTTTTGAGGAACGTATTGCAAATTGCATGGTGCGCTGTTGCACAATACTCGTTATAAGTACGAGCAACACTGCTATACTTTGCACATGTATAGTGCACATTGAGCAATTTGTGTGGTGCATGGTGCACAATACCCCAAGACTGAGTACTAAATACACTTATATGGTGCTTCATGCGCATGTGTTTTGGGGAATGCAGTGCAAATTGCAAAGTACGCAAGTGCACAACGCTCTGGCAGACATGTACCTTCAAATGCATTTCATGAGTACCATGCGGTTAATTTGAAATAATTCTAATAGCCGACTTTTAAACAAAAATACCATATATTTCCCTTATTATTATTATTTTTTTACAGTTGAAGTTTAATTTTATCTATTAATTAATAGTATTTTTTTATTATAAATTTTGATGGATAGTTATTCTAGCCAAGAATTAAATTTATAAAACTTGAACCTTTTTTTTGTTTATTACTGAATTCTAGCTTTTTAAAAATTAAAATAACATGTGTGTATTATGTTGTTCCTTTATTCAATTTAATAAAGTATTACATTTTAACATATTATAAATTTTGTAAAATACTTTGTTAACTTGATGGGGGATTATATTGTCTCTTTTATAAAAAATTGGTTATTTTAGAAAACTTAAAAGTAATATTATGATGCATCTAATTGCCACAATGTAGAAAGGTGTGCAAAGGTGTGCTTGGAGTGAAACAAGTATAAATTAAAATGCTCCGGAGGAGCAAGCTATATACTTAATCCAAATAAAAACAAGACCCACTTATAAGTATTTTATAGATTTAAAATTTAAATAATTTATTTTGAACGTAACGAGCATTTAAAAGATGAAAAAATTAGTAAATCTTGTTTTTTAAAAGCCAACGTAATGTGTACCTTAGAGAACGTAAAATCAATGAACGCTCCATATATTATTGGATGTAGACTCATATGGAGATATGTCCCCTCCTTTTGATTGATTTTTTAAATGGATTTTAGAGCCAAAATGTTCAGATATGGAAAATGGTTTGATAGGGCTGCCATCTTTTTAAAATAAATAAAGCCTTACCTCATAACTAATCAAAAATAGCAATTCAAGTGTTGAAAAACTTTTCAATTGAATGTGAAAAAAAAAATGTATTTCAAGTTTCAAAACTAGTGTACATTGCAACAAGTTATATAAACCATCCATTTCACTTTAAAAAATAGTTCTAATCAATATGCAAAATTTGTATCATTTTTTGAGTTGCAAACTTTATTGTCGGTGTTGAAAATTGATTTTAGAACTATCATGAAGATGTCATATGCCCAAAGTGCTTTTCTAATGAAGATTTGAGGTGAGGCTTTATTTTGATTTCATAAACCTAAGCTCTATAGAAACCTCATCCTTTAGATGCACACATTATTTAATATATATATTATTAATAACAGAAAAAAAATAGAAAATACCTATTATCTTTGAGTTTTATATTTCAATAGATTTAAATTTTCAAAACATATATTGAATCATAAAAATTCTGAGTTTTACCTAATTTTGTCTCTTTTAAATTTATTTTTTTACCTTCAAACAAATATGACAAATATATATCATTTCTCTCCCTTCACATCATTTTCTCCTAAATTTCCCAATTTTCCAAACCCCTTCTCTCCTTATTTTTCTACTCTCTCTCCCCGCGTGTCTCACTGTCTCTTAAATTCTGCACAGGGTTAATAACTCTTTGCCAAGTCCATGCTTTTAGGCCTAACACTAATAAACACGTCTTTCTAAAACCCCATAATTTTGACAGAATCTGTCTCTCTTGTTCTTATTTACTCTCTCTCTCTCTCCGGCAAGAGCAAATCCCCATTTGCTGGTGCTCATGTCCATGCTCAAATAATCAAGTATGGGTTCATCAATAACACATTTTTGCTGAACAATTTGCTCGTAATGTATTCCAAGTGCCACTGTTTGGGAGAAGCCCGCAAAGGTTTTTGATCGAATTCTTGAGAGAAACCTTATATCTTGGACTTCCATGATAATGGAACTGTTCAGAATGGAGAGCTGGTGGATGGGTTGTTTCTTTTTCTAGAGATGAAAAGGGGAGGATTCATGGCCAATGAATTTGCTTTGGGTAGTGTTTTGATAGCCTGTTCAGGCTTAGAGGCTCTGAACTTTGGGTTTTCATTGCATGGTTATGCTCTAAAGATCGGAATTGAGCTTAGCGTATTTGTTGGGTGTGCTCTATTGGATTTCTATGGAAAATTATAGCTCATTTCCGTGGCAGAGCATGTCTTCGAGAGCATTACAGATCCTGATGTAGCATGTTGGAATGCTTTGGTTGCATGTTATGTGAATAATAGAGTTGCAGAGAAGGCACTCATGGCTGTTTCATTTATGCGTAAGCAAAATTTACAGTTGGAGCAGTTCACTTTCCTAGTCATGCTCAAGGCTTGTTCCATTTCTCGCAATTTTGATAGTGAGCGCCAAGTCCATGCTTTGATTATTCAATCTAAGGTGAGAAAAGACCTCTCAGTTATCTCTCCATGAGAATAACCCTGGCTTTCAAATAGCCGAATGAGAGAGATGTTGGAAAATGGAGAGAGAGGTTGATCGGGGAAAGGAGATAGAGGGGTTGCGAAATACAGAGAGAGAGAGAGAGAGAAGTTGATTGGGAAACACAGGGAGATATAGAGAGGGGATGGGGTGAGAGAGAGGAGTTTGGGGAAGCACGGGGTAGAGAGAGAGCGAGAGATCTGGAGAGAGAAAGTAAGGGAAAATGAAGAGAGAGATAAAAGGGATTTTAGGAGAGATAAATATGGTGGATATATCAAGGAAAGAGGTGGTTTAGAATGGAGGTGATTTAGAATGAGGGTGTTTATTTTTTTTTACAAAAAATTATCTTATCGGAGTTTTTCTGTGTAAGATTTTAAAGGATCGTCATTAAATTTAATATAAATTTTTTAAAAAAGTTAAGCTTCATACGTATATGATAATTTTTTGAAAAATCTGTATTAAATTTAATGGTGATCCTTTGACGTCTTACACACATGACTGGAAGATGTCCTATATGATTATTATTATTTTTTTATATTTATTAGAACTAAAAAATAGTTAAATAGACTCGGGCTAAGAGATATATTTTGATTAATTGGATTTATTGAGATATAAAAACAAAAACATATAGGGAATATAGGGATATTTTTCCAAAATAAAATATTTAATCGGCTAAAAGTAATATTTTGGGGAAAATTTTTAAATCGTTAGATTTTATTTTTAATAAAACCACACTTTAAGATGGAGGTGGATACCTTGAGGGACGCAAATGTGAACTTGCGTCCCCCGCCTCATAGACTACTTTTAGATAAATGATTAGGGCTCATCGGTCCCAAACGGTTTAAAAAGGAACAATAACACAAGAACTTCTCCCAAACCCTAGCGCGTTCTCTCTTTTTCTGTAATCTAGGGTTTATTCTATCTAGTTCGATCGACCCCTCAACCTCCTAATCTTCAGGTATGTGTTTTCCTATTTTTCCCCGTTCAAGTTATAGATTTGAAACCAAAACAACTATCTTATGGTTTTTCTAGGGTTTTACGCTTCGTTTTTGTGCAGTATATATTGATGCTTGTTATGGTTCCATGTTTTATCTCACTCTTTTATATTAGTGTATACTAGCCACTACTGGGATCTGGAAACTCTACATCTGTGGATTTGATACGATCTGATATAGATTTTGATTTTTGTGTTTTCAGCATATCAGTTCGTGGTTTGTCACCGTTTTTGAGTCATGGCCCTGGTGAGTTTGTTGGATTTTGTTTTATTAACCACAAAGAGATTGCTGTGATTTATCCGCCGATTATTACCATTGTTCTTTATCTTGTCTGTGTTATTTCTGTTATTTGATTTTTTTCTTATTGTTGATACATGCCATGTAGATTTATATTAAAAGTTTTGCATGTGAAGTTGCCTTCTTTCGTGAAAGGGGAATAAAATATTAGGTTAAAGGCCTATGGACATATGCATGGGACCTTAATTATTGAAATATATACTCGTAGAAACAATTTTGTTGTATTTTCTTTTCCTCCTAAATTTTAAGCTCTTTTGTAGTCCTGTCTATTACATCAATTGAAAAAATTTATGCCTTTGTTGCTTGTTAGTTTTCTTTATCTGTATAAGTTGTATTGGAGAATGTGATGTTATGCTGCTTGTTATCTTGAATTTTTTAATGAGGAATCGAGACGCACACAATTGGTCTAATAAGGGTGAGGATCTTAAACTTTCCCTTAACCCGTCCCAAGGTTGGGTAAAAGAGGTGGGTTGCATTAGGTAGGCACATAAACTCTACCACATCTTATCATGAATCCTGAACCTATGTTATGCGGTATCCCTATTGAAAGGGAAGAATGGAGGAACAAGATTCATGTAGCCGACCCCAAATCATTGGGATAAGGTTTGGATGATGATGATGATGACGAAATCAAAGCGCACTTGCACACTCACACACACATATATATATATAATAAACTAGTCAATTTTTTTTATATAGATTATATGTATAATCAATTGAACATTAAAAATTGAACAATGGAAAAATGAAATTTAAAATTTACTATGTAAATGTGGAAATCACATTCCACATTCATTATGTTTGAATGAATACCACTTTATAAATCGCCCAAGATCTTATCTTGTAATCTCTCTCAATACTTCGCGATGAATGAAATCCAAAAGGAATTGGATTTGAAATGATTTTGCAAAGGTACACTTTTTTTTGGGTACATATATCTTAAAAACAGTTTACATAATTCCATTTCTTATTTTGTTTTTGTTACGAATGATAAAA